AGATGACGGGGACAGAAATGTGTCTTACCATCAGGATGCTTCGTCTTACCTTTAAAACCAATCTCTTTGAGCATATTCCCATCGTGCTTATTTTGATTGGTTCATTGTCTGATTTAAGATTCCACAGGAACATTGACTTTTATTACGGTAATATATATGGACACAGTGAGGTCAAGAAAGCACGGGAGAGGCGGACGCGATGCATAGTTCTGACTCCAGGGCGGCCAATCCGCTAAGAAGCAGCGTAGATAAATATCCAACGGGTATCTATTAGGAGAACTGCACTGTTGTGACAGTTCTCATATAAAGGTGGGACCGTGATCATACAGACAGGAAGGAGAGTAACGCTGAGTCAGCGCACTGTTGGTTCTGCAATGCTGCTGATCAAACTGTGCAGACGACAGACAGACAGACCAGAGGAGACAGACAGAGAGAGATTACGAGACAGGAGAGAGATGACAGAAGGACAGACGGACAGATCGAGACGAGGAGAGGACAGAGAGAGAGAGAGACAGAAGAGAGAGCAGACAAGAACAGACAAGACAGACAGAGAGACCAGAGAGGAGAGAGCAGAGGAGAAGACAGACAGACGAGACAGACAGAGAGACGGACAGAGAGAGACAGACAGACAGACAGAAGAGACAGCACAGAGAGACAGACGACAGACAGACAGAGAGACGGACAGAGGAGAGAGCAGACAGAGAGAGAGAGAGATCATTGAGAGGGAGAGACAGACAGCAGGACGGACAGATGGAGAGAGAGAGGAGCAGGACAGACGGACTCACGAGAGAGGAGAGAGACAGAAGGGAGCGGACAGAGAGACGACAGACAAACAGACAGGAGAGAGAGACGGAGAGAGAGAGACAAGACAGACAGACAGACAGACAGGACGACGAGATAGAGAGGACAGAGGAGAGAGACAGAGTGCAGGACAGGAGAGAGAGAGCAGACAGACAGACAGAGCAGACAGGACAGAGACGGGGACAGACAGGATCAAGACAGACAGGACGGGTACTTGGTGAAAAACAGTGTTATATGTATGAATTTGCTCATCGGATGGCAGTCAGCAGCAGCAGGTCAGCAGTCAGTGAAGCTGCCTGTTAATTAGGTGGCATTTCAGATATTTCAGCAGCGACAGTTCTGCGTCCAACAGTCAGTCAGCTGCTTGTCGTGACCCGTCACGGAAGCTCCAAACAGTCAGGGAGGTCAGATCCGGCGAGCTGAGACGATTTTATATCGAGTGCAGAACCTGTGGAAGGTGCTTCCACGTTTTCAGTTTCAGCATGACACAACACAAACATCTAAAACAGGAAATGTAGAGAGACAAACTCCACATGTAATCTACACGCACACACACACGACATCCACACACGACACACGACGACACTCACACAGTCAACATAACTGAGCTTGACTGTTACTTTGAGACACAGCCAGGCTACCTGCTTTTCCCGCTAGCTGTTTCCCCCTGTTTCCAGTCTTTATGCTAAGCTAAGCTAACCATCTCCTGGCTGGAGCTTCATAAGTTAAAGGTACAGACATGAGAGTCGTATCCTTCTCCTTATTTAACTCTTGGTAACAACAAGTTTAAAGGAATCTTTTCTATCAAGCCAGGTAATTTAAACAAGTCGTGAGCGAGTTCGACCAGATCGTCTACGTGTTTTATTTGAAGGTTAAAGGAAGAGCGACGACCTGAAACATCAGTATCAAACCCTCACTGAAGAGGAAAACTACACACGCTGCACACAGAGAAGTGTCTGTGATGTTTCTCCCTTCGGATTGAATGTAAAAGCCTTTCTATACCAGTGCTTTAATGGTCTGTTCAATCCAGACAGGCTTCCTGTGTGAGACAGGAAAGAGCTGCAGGGGCGCCGAGCGTTCACGACAGCACATGAAACCTCGCTGCTGTACTAATGTTTGTCACTTTCATTTCAGCTGGCTGCAGTAAATAACAAGTGTTTGTGTTACTCACAGTGGGGACGTATTCGGAGGGAAACTTGTTGGTGGTGTAGGAGATGAGCAGGCAAGTTTTCCCCACGGCGCCATCGCCCACCACCACACACTTTATAGTCTGCATCTGAGGAGGGAGGCAGGAGAGGAGAGGGAGCTTGTTAATGTCACACGTACATGTGCAGAACACAAATCACTTCAAAAATACATAAAGGCTGAATTTACCTCTGAAGGGGTGACTTACATTCTGCCATTTTAAATCCTAGATCAATATCAGTAATACTAAACACACACAGCTTCATTATGCAAAAAAGACATTCAGGAGTTTTCAGTTCCACATCTGGACAAATTGTAACCATACAGCGGATGTGTAAGAAGTGACGACCAACACATTGTCACGGTACAGTCGCCATAATGGGGGAGAAAAAGAGAGTAGACGCTGGGGAATAAGACGCATCACCATATTCTGTTTAGGGATATCGTATCGATTCTCAAAAACACTACAAGGACTTTTGTGTCTAAACCTCCAACCGCTGGACAGCAGTGTTGGAAAACCTAGTTTACAGTATCGCGATATATACAATATATTGGATTGTTGTTTTATTTGAACAACTATTCTCAAACGGCACAGTCTTTTCTCGTTTTCTACCTGAAACGTGTATCTCTGTCTCTGTTCCCTTTTGTAGTGAACGTATGAAGAAGCATGCCCGTCCTGAACACCGCTCACAGACAACATCTGCTTCACAGCCACAGTCCTGACGCAATACTTCACTCACTGTATTTTCACTCTTACAGTTCAAATGTTACACATGGACAGGCGATGGACGTATTTACTGACGTCTTATGCAATACACTAACCAAGAAAAGATTTGTGTGTGTGTGTTGCTGTGTCGTGTGTCGGGGTTTGTGATTGATGTGATTATTATGAGTGACTGGATATCTATCTAATATGCCTAGGTGTCTCATAAGATCCCTTTTCCTAGTTCTGTTTGTTGTTGATGCCGGATGGTGTCATTTACCCTGTTTAATGTTTTAGAAGACGTCTTAATATGCTGTTTTGACGAATTAACTTTCTCCCCTGGCGCACTTCTGCTTTCATATTCCTTCTTTTAGCTGTTTTTCCTAACGTGTATTTTATTCAGCTTGTATTTTTTATTTTTTTAGCTGATTTTTAATGTGTTAATTTTAGCCCTTAGTGTCTCTTCTTGTTATTCTTTTGTTTTGCTCTCTGTAGGCCATCTTTGAGGATAGATTTTTCTTTTATGAAAAGTGCTTTGTACAAATTTAAAATGGTATTTATTATTATTATTATTACTAAAAAGGTCTGTCCTTACGCATTATTACTTTGTGACATTGGGAATGCCGGGAAGACTGTAAAATTCCCCCAAACTACTGCCACACACAGTTCGGCTCCTGTATGTGATCTCCTTTCAATTCACGATACGTAGAACGATACAGGGTCAGGGGTCAGGGGTCAGGGTCAGCCCTCAGTTTATGTTCACAACACTGATATCTAGCAGTATTCTTTCGAGAGAATAAGTGAATAACTGCGTTTTCCCATCGTGAACGTTCCAGCTGTTGACTGGGATGTGATGAGTAAGTGCGGGAGAGTTAACAGAAACAGTGGCAGCTGTGTGTAAGACAGTGTTTACCACACACAGGCTGCAGGTCCTGTGACACGCAGACGCCCAGCAGCTCACACACCCGCGCCGGCTTCATTAAGTGGGACAATGGTGAAGGCTACGGCTGCCTCTTCATCACTGCCTCTTTGTTCGGCCCTTCGGCAGCGCTCAGGAAGAGTCACATACAAGTTAACTGGTGATCTGCGGGACCGGGACACCAGTTATGTCTGTCTGTCCTCATCAGGGAACTGTTGTTTCTTTTAAACGACGTTCTGGGCATCGCGTCGGTCCTGTTCTGCAGCGATCACTGATCACTCTGGTTCATTAACAGACCACTCTCTAACTCTGCCAGGTTTCTTCTTTTAGAGCAGCGCTCATTAACTCCAGAGGCGTAGTTATGGAACAACTAGTTGGTGAATTGATTTGTCAAAAGAGAGCAAATATGAGCCTCCTTCCAAGTTGCTAAAGAAAAGAAAAATGTAAAAGATTTTCCCATTTTTAGCTTCTCAGATGTGAGCGTTTGCTTCTTTTTCCTTTCTCTTATTTTCTAATCATCAACTGTATCTGATGAGCGAGCGTAATTGTTAGTTGCGTCTCAATATTACGATTATTTTCTTGACGAATTAGTCGATCGACAGGCTTTTGATAACCCATTAATCGTTTCACCCGCTGGTTCCAGATTCTCCCACCTGAGGACTTTATACCGCACTGTTGGTTGGATCATGGAGAGACAATCATAAAGGGCAGTTTTCAATAGTTTATAGACAAAAAGATGACTTCAGACCACAACTGTATTATTGTAATAAAGAAAATAAGACTGTTGATCTCAAAGATATTTAACTTACAATGACATAGAGAGAGAAAAAGAGCAAATGCATATGTTTGCTGTAACCAGGCAGTTAATCGATCATCAAAATAGTCTCTGAACTTATTGATTAACCGACTACTCCTTTCACTTCTGATTGATTCTCACATACAGACAAAAATATCGAAAGCAGTCATGAGTTAGGACATTTTCTCAACGTGCAGCTGAAGCAATTGTCTGTTAACTCATATTTAGTCCTGAAACAAACTTAAAACAATCGATTAAAGTTGTTATAAATCAGTTTCAGTGTTTTCACACTACAGGAAGCTGAACAAGAGACACCCAAACTGGGTTTCCAGTCACTTCCGCGTAGAAAACTGTGGCAAAAACTTCACAAATAAACCTACTGATGGTCTTTATCGCAGGCCGGCTCGTCGCTTAGTCTGTTTGTACAGTATTAAAGTTAGAAAAGGACACGCTCACCACTTTCTGACAGACTTTACGAGCCACTAACTAAAGGTTGGCAAAAGTTTACTCCTGCGAAACTACCGAGCTAAGTCGGTAGCTAACGCGAAGCTACATCCGCCAGACCACACAAACCACAAAAAGGGCATTTTTTAAAACTAATTTAAATTAATACAACGACAAAACAACACTTCTGAGGGCTACGTGTATAATAAGTAATAGAAACTCAGGCCTAAAGTCGCCCTGGTTAACCAACACAGTCGCACCGGTAGGTTAAAGGAAATCGTTTGTTTTGACAGCTGCCGGTTAGCATTGTTGGCAGTGAGCAGCTTTCACAGTGAAAAGAGTCGCTCTCGGGTATATTTCTGTGTTTTCTGCTCGTATTTCCCAGTTTATCGTCAGTAAATGTAAAGTTAAAGACAGTGACAGATACTAACCGTGTCTGTTTTCAGCCGCTGGAGTGCTGCTAATGCTGTGCTGCGTTCAGGTGCTTCCCGTAAACTCCCCCTTCCCCCCCGCCACACTGCGGAAGTCGGAAATATGACTTGTTGTTAATAAATGCAATGATTTTGTGTTTTCCTTTAATTAATGTAATCATTTTACCTTATATATGTCGTTTATATATATACGTATATTTTTTATTTTTATTTTTATTTTATCTTTTATCTTTTATCTTTTATCTTTAATTTCTTTTAATTTTTTTTTTATTCTTAGGGTTAGGGTTTTTAATTTTAGTTTAATGTATGTTTAATGTATGTTTTGTATTTTGTATGCTACTGGATGCTTGAATTTTCCTCTGGATAAATAAAATATCTATCTATCTA